CCATTACCTCAAGAAAAATGTCACTAAATGAACTTGCCAAGCACTTTGTAAATACTTGTCATGTCCATCAAGTTTCTGTTTTATATTTGCACATTTTATGTCTTGTCTTTCCTGTTTTATTTTGTAATCACTAAGCTGTTGTGTCTGTCTTAGATTCATTTCCCGCATGCCCTGCCCCCGTCTCATCACACCTGCTCTCTGATTGTTCTGCTCACCTGTTTCCCATCCTCCCTCATTACCTCTTGTATTTTATCCTGTGTGTCTCACAGTCTCGTTGCCAGTTTGTTGTATTTCACGGTCCTCGTCCAAGTGTTTTCAAAGTCATAGTCATAGTCTGCTTTGTGTACAACTTTGTTTCTGCCTTCAACCTTGCCTTTTTGCCTCACATTTTTTGGATACCTCTGCCAGTCTGATTGATCACCTGTGTACCAAAGCCTGCCTAGCACTAAACCTACCTGTCTGCCTGAACCTGGTTGTGTTGTGCATTTGTGTCCACCTGTTCTGAGTTTGTGAGTTCTTGACAATACTTTGTTATTGGTTGTGTAAGTATCATTACCTCAAACTAAAATGTTTCTAAATACATGCTTTTTGCAGTTTGTCACTTTTTCTTTTATTTATTATAAATTCCTTTTTTTTTTTTAAACCGTAGACTGGCAAGTTACCATATATGGTAACTTTATTAATCTTGATTTTTACGCTTGACAAACGTAAAAATATCTGGAAATATCCTTCAAAAACACCCCAGGGTAAATATTTTCATTTTCCAAGTATTTCGAGGAGTGCCCTATAAAGGGTTAAAGGTTTCATACTTAACAGATCCAAAGAAACCAATCCTGTTATCTTGCAGGGTGACGATTTCTGTATCATTATTCTTGTTCAGAATCGTTTTTTTGGGTGAAAAATCCATCCATCCATCCATCCATCTTCTTCCGCTTTATCCGGAGTTGGGTCGCTGAGGCAGCAGCCTTAGCAAAGCCGCCCAGACTTCCCGACACACCTCCTCCAGCTCTTCCAGGGAGGACCCCTAGACGTTCCCAGGCCAGTCGAGAGACGTAATCCCTCCAGCATGTCCTGGGTCTTCCCCGAGGTCTCCTCCCGGTGGGACGCACCCAGAACACCTCCCCAGGGAGGCGTCCAGGAGTCATCCGAAAAAGATGCCCGAGCCACCTCAGCTGGCTCCTCTCGACCTGGAGGAGCAGCGGCTCTACTCCGAGCTCCTCCCGCGTGACCAAGCTCTTCACCCTATCTCGAAGGGAGCGCCCAGCCACACTGCAGAGGAAACTCAATTTGGCGGCTTGTATCCACGATCTTGTTCTTTTGGTCATTACCCAGATCTCATGACCATAGGTTATAGTAGGAACATAGATTGACGGGTAAATCAAGAGCTTTGGCCCCTTGCTCAGCTCTCTCTTCACCACGATCGTCCGGTACAGTGACCGCAACACTGCAGACGCTGCACTGATCCGTCTGTCAATCTCACGCTCCATCCGCCCCTAACTCGTGAACAAGACCCCGAGATACTTGAACTCCTCCACTTGAGGCAAGGACTCTCCACCGACCTGGAGAGGGCAAGCCACCTTTTTCCAGTCGAGAACCATGGCCTCGGATTTGGAGGTGCTGATCCTCATCCTGCTCGCCTCACACTCAGCTGCAAACCGCCCCAGTGCACCCTGAAGGTCCTGATTTGATGAAGCCAACAGAACAACATCATCTGCAAACAGCAGAGATGAGATTCTGTGATATCTAAACCGAACCCCTTCTGCCCCCTGGCTGCGCCGAGAAATTCTTTCCATAAAAATAATGAACAGAACCGGTGACAAAGGGCAGTCCTGGCGGAGGCCAACGTGCACTTGGAACAGGTCTGACTTACTGCCAGCAATGCAAACCATGCTCCTGCTGCGGTTGTAAAGGGAACGGACAGCCCTTAACAGAGGGCCCCGGACCCCATACTTGGAAGCACCCCCCACATGACGCCATGAAAAACACGGTCTAACGCCTTCTCCAGATCCACAAAACACATGTGGACTGGTTGGGCAAATTCCAATGAGCCCTCGAGCACCCGATGGAGGGTATAGAGCTGGTCCAGTGTGCTGCAACCGGGACAAAAACCAGACTGCTCCTTCTGAATCTGAGGTTTGACTATTGGTTGGATCCTCCTCACCAGTACCCTGGAATACACCTTACCGGGGAGGCTGAGGAGTGTGATCCCTCTGTAGTTGGAACACACCCTCCGATCCCCCTTCTTAAAGAGAGGGACAACCACCCCGGTTTGCCAATCCAGAGGCACAGTCCCCAACTGCCATGTGATGTAGCAGAGACGTGTCAACCAGGGCAGTCCCACAACATCCAGAGACTTAAGGTACTCAGGACGGATCTCATCCACCCCGGCTGATGGGCGAGTCCGCCTCTGAGTCCACAGTCTCTGCTTCTTCTTCGGAAGACATGACGGCGGGATTGAGGAGACCCTCGAAGTATTCCTTCCACTGCCTGACGACCTCCTCAGTCGAGGTCAGGAGGTCTCCAATGCACTGTAGACAGTGTTGGTGGAGAGCTGCTTTCTCTCCTGATGGTTTGCCAGAATTTCTCCGAGGCCGACCGACAGTCCTCCTCCATGGTCTCCCCGAACTCCTCCCAGACCTGAGTTTTTGCCTCTGTGACCGCACGAGCTGCCACACGCTTGGCCTGCCAGTACCTGTCAGCTGCCTCAGGAGTCCCACAAGCCAAAAATGACAGGTAGGACTCCTACCTGGGTGGCAAATGTATGGCCACCCAGGTGTGCTCGAGCTGTTGTAAGTGGGAAGTGTGGGGGTGGAGAGAAGTAAAGACTATGCAAATCTGCACATTCACAGGGAAGCAACAGTGTAGAGCTGTCTCTAAGCCATTTTAAGGCCTAAAGACATTATTTTCATGGGGGGAAAAAAATCTTTTAGTTTGCAGGGGATCAATCAATGACTAGAAAAGGACCTAAAATGAGCAAATATCAGCATGCTAGCATGTTAAACTATGATTGCATGGTAATCATGGCCCAACATCAGCATCCATACTGTCAGCATGTAAGCATGCTCAGAGCACCACTGTCTGTCTCACAGAGCTGCCAGCATGGCATTGAAGTAAACTCTATTTTTTTTTTAAATAAAGTCGTTCTGCAACTCTTTACAGCTGGTGCCTTAATAGAAAGTAACGCCTTAGCAAGGAATTTCTAAAAGCTCTTCAGTGGAGCCACTAATCCAGGGTCAGAGGTTGGAGATGAAGCATTACAAATTACAATAGGTTTTGCATTGTTGCCATTGTGGTCATGACCAGGACACAGGGCCAGGTGGAGGCAGTCTGAGAAGGTTCCCGCACAGAAAGAAAACAGGGGTGTCATTTTTTCTGCCTCAAGAAAAGTCACCAATCCTGCAGGGAAACTACACAACACGCCGATCTGGCAGAAACGTTTTGTGAAAGGTAACTGATGTGGCACCCCTCCATGCCAGGCTGTATACTCCCCATCAAAGAACTCCACACACCAGGACTCAGCTCCTCGGCCCAGCCAGCAGTCCTCAGTTGTGCCTTTGCGTGGAATGGTGGGGTACGTAACACCAAGCTCCCAGTAAGTCTTCCCAGTCACATCTATCTCCCAGTAATGACGACCAAAGGTGAAGCCGTGCATGCTGATGACATTAAGGGTGGTGTCAAAGCGTCCAGGGACGTCAGGGAGTTGCTGCCAGGTGTCTGTGTAGGTGGCGCTGTCACCCTGGGAGGAGATGACCAGCTTTGGGTGCGCCGTCTCTGGATCCAGGCACACCTCGCTAGAATCTGGAGGCACATATTTAACATTTTTATACTGAACATTTTACGTGTTAAACAGATAATGCTGTGAATATAAACACTATGGAAATAGAGTGGGAACTAACAGCTCTTCATAAGTTTCTTGATTATAGGGGTCTGTGAGCAGATAAGCAGAAGCATGTTGTTGGTGAGGCTGAGGATCTGCTCAGCTTTAGCTTCATCCAGAGTTACACTGCTTGGGTCTGTTCTGTTTAGCACATCCATCACTCTGGGGGAGGAAATCCATAGAAGAAGAAAAAAGAAATGTCACTTATTGCTACACTGAGACACACTGAAGCTTGTTATTATTCATTATGATTTGATTCCATACCTGTCCCCTGACTCCATGTCTTCCTGCTCAGGGTACGAAAAGAATGACTGGAGAAAGCAGAATTTTTATTCTTATTTTTATTTTTTATTTTTTTTAAATCTCACATTACATTTTGGTACCCATATATTAGAAGGGAAATTTACAATTTCAAATGGTCCACTGGACTTTGCCAACGTCTAACACTGTTACCATTGTATCAGGCTCTGTGTCGGTGTGGTCCAGTGCCAAAGTGAGTCTGGCCAGGTCCTGTTCTATATCTTGAATCAGAGAACAGTTCCTCTCCATGAGCCCATCCAAGGCAGAGACAGCAGCTCGCTCCTCCATCTCCAGATGGGAGAGTGTAACCCTCAGGTCCTCATCCAGGACAGTCTGGATCTCCTGATATTTCCTTACGATACTCTCCCTTATCACTGAGGACTTTTTCTGAGTCAGGCATAGACATCTAGCAGTTAGTAAAGCTGCCTGATCACAAGTATAATTAACGGGTTATTATTTTTGTTGCAGGATAATTGATGAAATGTCACTTTAATACCAGAAGAATTCCTTGTTGCCATTTCAATACTGACCAGTCTAAAGAAAACTTACTGTGATTTCTGACTGCCGCGCTGCCAGTTTCTTCAATCTGTATTTCACTGCTTCCCTTTGCTTCTTGAGACACTCTTGGTGCTTTTCTAATGAGTCCTGTAGAAAAGGTTGCACACATATTCAGCACAGCTCAATTCAACATCTGCGAGTTGAACCTCGCCAAATGATCTGCGGTGACGTGCAGATGCAGAAGCAGAAGCAAAAGCTCACTATGACATTTAATGCTGGTAACGGCAAAGAACAGATTTAAAGACAGGGGTGTGCTTCCTCCAACAACCACCTGGTTTCAGGCTTGACTTAATAAAAGCCATGTTGTATTTTTAGATGACAAAGGTCTTTACTGAGGCCCATTCATTTAATACATGAACAAGAGACATTTTGAAAAGAGATTGTTGCTATATGCAGATGACTTACTTTTCTATATATCACCTGCTTTGGCAAATCGGTTCACCTGTGCCTTCTCCTGGCCATTTTGATGTCCAGTTTTCTATACTCCCCTCTCAAAAGCAGAGGCAGTTTGTTCCGCCTTTGCCATGCCTCTCACGTAATGTCTCACCTACCTTTAAATGGTGGCCTCATGATGTACCTTTTTAAAAAAAATCAAGTTAGAGAAAATAATGTTGTGTTTGATATGTATATATATATATCTGTTTAACAGTAGAATCCTTTTTCCTGTATCACATTTAAGAGAAAATGCAGTTGCCTGCAACTCAGAGATGAAGACAAATGCTCACCAAGACCACCACAGACTAAATTGTGGCACAGAATTAGATTGACATCCAGTGACTACTCTTTTCTGCCAGACTTATATGTGAAACCATTTCTCTGGTGCTTTTGTTTTCTATATGTATATATATATGCCTTTTAACAGCACAATCACATACAACCAAGAATTTCTGACCAACAAGATAATGCTTCCATACTGATTCTGTAACAATTGAATAAAGTGCATCAGCTTTTTGTACGTAAATAGGGAATGTGTTTGTACATGTTTTTATTAGTAAAAGAGTTCATGATTTAGGTTTAACTGTGGATTTATTTGAAGCTCTTGAACAGACTCTTAAAGGCTACAGAGATGAGACCTGGGGAAAAAAATGGTACAAACTACTGAACAATGAAAGACTGGCCCAGAACTTGCAGCCAAAAGAAAGAGATTTCTGGACGGACACAGTTGTGATGGCTCAACTATATGAATGTCTTGGGTGTCTGAATTGTCTTACATTTTCTTCTCTTGTAATTGTTATTATCTTATGAGCTTTATCAACAATTAAAGTGTAATATTAGCAACTGTGGCATGTTTTAATCCTTTCAGGGTTACATATAAAGCTAACTATGCTGTATAGGAGTTCTCATTTAATGCCACGTCAGTCTTGCATTAGTGAGTAATCGAAGGTATTATTGTATATTTTTAGTTTTGGGCATATATTGATGTGGATAACTAATACGGGAAGCAGAAGTAGTGGATTTACATGCAGCAAGTGGCTTGACTGACCAGGATTGTTCAGGTCAAAATCTGAATTTTTCTGGTATTTTGTTTTATGAACTAATACATAACAGAGGAATGACATTCCCATCAGCTGTCACTGTACTTTGCAAAAGTAATGAGAAAGACCTCCTCTGGTGAAGATCCTGTTTTTCACTCGTTGACATGTCCATATGGTACTTTTTATATGCAAGAGGAAATATCATCAGTGAACTCAACAGTCAATACCGTGGCTGAGCTGTTCCACCTAGAAACTACAGTGTATTGATGACACCGATTCTGACTTCAGAGGTGACAAACCCAGGACATTACTCCAATTATCGTACAGGTTGGGGCTTTCTGTAACATTATTCTTCTTCAGGATTGTTTTTTGGACACCAGGGACTCTCTGCTGGTGTGTACTCTCTCTCTTTTCTTTTAAATTGTTTATACCATGATTTAAAATTACATGGCTGAGCTAAAAACAGTGACCAGTTACTTGTATTCAGTTACTTAGGCTTGTAAATTATTTTCTCATTTGAGTTTTGTATTGTTTTGTTTTTTTCCCCTTTCTTTACAGTGCAACTATTTATTACTTGTCCACTGATGACAAGTATTTCATGTCATCATTGGCCTCTCATAAGTGTCACATTGTATTTATGTGCCAGTGTTTGTCAATGCAGTCTTTTTCAGAAGGAGAATCGGGACAAATGCCTTATGTCCACAATCCTTCACATTTGTCCCATATTAATTCCCCTGTGACTGAATGAGGTCACACTGCAGCTCCAATAAGCATGCACTGTGCAAATAATGCATAACTAATACTTAGCAGTGACATTATTTGAATTGTTGAACTCACATTACAGAGTTGGTATGGTCAATGGAGAGTATATTCTCATAACATTTTTAGCATCAAACTGGCAGGTTTGTGGATTTTATCTATTTTAGTTACTACAAATTGTATTATGCATTGTATCATTGTTGTCCATTTTCCAAAGCACGCCATAGTTTTCTGCATTGTTGAAATCCACCTCCACTTAAAAATGTGCTTTTCCTATCGTAACTTTGCATGAAACTTTACTGTGCACGGTCATAAAGGTGCAGAGTCTGAGAGAAGAAGGCTGATTTGACTCATCTGCTGAAATCTGGGTGCAACACATATATATCCAAGAAGATTTTTGAAATCTCAAATTTGGTTGTGTTTTTTCTTGGTAGTCAATTGTGGTTCAGTAGCAAAACTTGCAAAAGTATATCTCAAAAAATGTTTTATTTCATCCAAAAAATGTTGTGCACAGATATGCTAATTCTGCTATGACCAGCAGTCACATGACACCAATTCAGTTTTCAAAAGAACTGCAATCTGTGTTTATGCAAAGGCAAAATTAGAGAATGACAGAAAAATAACCCATACTTGGTCAATCAAATAAATTCTGCATGATTCATGAACGGTATACAGTGGATCTAGTTATCAGCAAGCTGTTGGAAGATGCCTTCAGTATGTTTGAATACTGAATGTATTCGAATGTAAATATGTTTTTAGAGTTGATGTGCAGGGTTATGTGAAGTATGTTTGAGTTGAGCTTGTAAAGGCTGCAAAAACAGTGTTTGTGTGTAAGGTCGGTGAACTCCACCATCTGATTGGTTTTGTGAAACTCCACCAGTCCTCAGATTACTTCTCACCTTCTGGTACATCAGCAAAATGTTGTGTTTATTGGTGAAATGCAAGGAAAGAAAAACAATAAACAGAAAAGAGGCAGTGGGTACCTTTGGTATAGCAGAGGATCATTATGGTTCATGGTGATTTAAAGCTTTATTGGCTTAAATTTCAATACAACAAATGGCAGTGTGGGTTTTCACTTATAAAACAGTACTTTCAAATACAGTTACATTAGGGGTTTTAGCTATTTGTCTGTTACTTTACGTCGGATAGGGCATTAAAATATATTAAGATTTGTACTTCTTCCAATACATGTAAAGGGAAAGTGTCTGGCCATGTTTATGAGAGCCTGAGAAGAGAGACATTTTTTTTTTGTCAGGGTCAGATGAATGCTTTGTGTGTGCAGTAGCCGGGGGCAGGAGAGTGGTGATATGTTGGTGCTTGGATGATTAATTTCCATGTAGATCCAGTAAAACAGTTGTTGGGTCAGCTGACTGCTTTCCCTGTGACATGTTTTTTTTTTTGTTGTTGTTGTTTTTTTATTCAAAGACTCACTGAGCCAATTCTTGCAAACTTTGGACTAAAATTGTTTCAGCCCAAGCGAAGGAAAGCTGACACATGTTCAAGCATCAAGCATGGACATTTCATAATGGCGCCATGAGGTTCTACTGTACTTACAAAGTTCCACAGGAATCAACAGCAACAAATAGTAGGAAGAAACAAGCAAGAAAGAAAGGAAAGCAGTTCCACTCAAAGCAAAGCAAGAAGTAAAACAAGCGCAGTCAAACCAAATAACATGACCCTATTTATCATTCATTCTTTGTCATTTTTGAACATGGAAGAGATTCCCATTCTGTGCAAGTCTAACTGGACAAGTCTTTCAGTTTAAAGCCTCAGGAAGCGTCAGAGCAAAGAGAGTCCGCTTCATGGCTTCCTTGATTATGTCAGGAAAAAACAAAAAAACAAAAATAAAAGAGAGAGAGAGAGAGAGAGAGAAAAAAAAAACAGAAGAAAAAGGAAATAAACCAAAAAACCTACATCTAGATTACAGTTGTCGTGTGCTATCTGAATGAATGTACAGAATATGCATGCTGCTCTGAGTGCTAGAAGAGCTTGGCCTTCTTTTTCATGTCGTTGCGTTTCCACAGGGGAAGCCTGTCAAACTCCTGGATCTCCATTCCAAAGATGTCAAAGAACGTTTCAGGTGCTAAGTGGCGCTAGAATTGAGAACAAAGGTGGAGAAAACAAAGGAGGGGAGGGTGGGAGGGTGGGAGGGGAGGGGTCGGGGGTGGGTGGTGTTGGTTAGCACCGAAGCCATAAAAAAGGGTCACAGCAAAAATGACAAGAAGCAATGGATACTGCACATTCCTTGCTACAGCTGTATTTGTGTAACATGTCATTTACACAAAGTAGAGAAATGCAGTATTAATTGCATTAATTGAAGGTCAGATGGAAAACTGATACCTCCAGTCTGGTTCTGTCCACATCCCTGGGCAGTTTAGCTCTCCCTCTACTGGTTATCATGAGCATTTCATAGGGATACACCTTCAGAAGGAGACATTCATCAGTGAACAGGTCCAACCTGCGAGCTTGAGTTAAAGCTTCAAAAACTTGCAAACTTTTTTTTCTTTTTTTTTAAAAATCCAACAGCACTATCAAATTTGGATATTTTGGTAAGTCTGACTGTGACAAAGGGAACACTGGGTGGGAGAACAGGTATGTGACAGGAGGCTGACTGGGTTTGTATTTTAGGTTGTTGGGGAAATGCGGGTGCTATGGTGGGTTTCTGGATTTTTATTTTTGGGTGTTCAAACGTGCAACAGATTAGGGGGAAAACATGAAAACATAGTTATGTAACTTGCTGTATTTTTAGAATCATTTAATGCAAAGTAAAAATAGAACCAACATCCGTAATGTGGGCCAAGTAAATCCACATGGGAATGATTGTCCTGGAAACTGAGGTGCTTCTATGTTTCTAAGCACTAATGCCTTTTGTACAAGAAGAAAGTGGCTAAACAAAATCGAAATGCTCAATAATAAGCAACTAGAAGTTCTTCGAAGCCTCTGACCAACTCATATCCATGTGTATACTCCCTTGTATACTACGCGATATATAGTGATATGAGTTGCTTTGATGACAACCTGGGCGTTGGATTCTCCACTGTATGCTGCATACAGTATCCAGCCACTTTAAGTCAAAGCTATGTGCAGATGAGCATGGAGAAGCCAGCATGCTAAGCGCTAGAGTGACTGGGCAGCTCCTAAAGCAGCATGCTGAATCAGGAACCGCTGAGTTTTTCACTTCTGGTAATAACATCTTTTCGCTATTTCTTCCACCACACTACGAGGGCGCTTGGGCTAGATTTGTTGCAACATGTATCCTCGTTTACTAATTCAAATGTGTTTTAAGACGTGAACAATATGTAAATTTTGTAATATATTGCAGTGTAGATTACAATGTTGTCATCAGTACAAAAAGAAGAAGATACTTGCTTTTGGTTCCAACATATTAGGCATAGATACTCCCCTGTCCATCCTTGCAAGTGCTGCACGGCCATCCTTAATGTGCTAAAGAATAGAACATACAAAAATGTAATATAGTGGAAGGGGACTGTAGGGTTAATGGCATGAATATGTCCACTAATGACAGTGGGCACAGTTTTCACTGGATGGAGCGAGCAGCTTTGGATACTGTTTCAGTGTCTTAGTTTCAAGATGGGCATTTACATGTTTTCTAAATGTCTCTGTAGTTTTTTTTTTTTCTGTAAAATGCTATATTTAAATGTGACATTTAGCTCGAGTCATAACACTGATAAACAACAAACAGAACAAGACATGAGGCAATGATTTAGACATTGCATTTATAGTACACTGGTTCAGCTACTGGGCAGTGCGTGTTCGCTTCTCATATCTGAGGCATTTGAAATCACTGCACTACATGCCCTGTTGTTGACACTAATCCAACAGTGATGCAAGCATGTAGCAGGAGTGGGCGGTGTGCATTCAGGGCAAGGTGTCTCTTGCAACCCACAAGCAAGCAAATATATGATGCAAGATGAGGAAGCATGCCATGTGAAAAAGCAGATGAGAGACATACCTGAAACTCTGCAGGACAAAATGGGACAGAAAATGAGACTCACAGTTAATGGTTTGGCTGTCGAGTTCCCTGCCAGGCTACTATCTACAACACTGCTGTCCCTGATGACACATCATGTGAATCATTATGCAAAAAAAAATTTTCCCAAATGCACGTCCATTTATGTACATGTAGCAAGCCATTTCTGAATACTGATGCTGAGTAGCTCTGGTGAAATTGACAAGAGATTTGTTTGCTTGGTGATGTTTTCGGTAGCAGCTCTCACCTCTGCCTCCTCCACACATGTCACCATAGCTGTTGTACTGAGTGAAATCTGTTGACTGTGGCTGCGGGAACACAGACAAGAGCACATCATCGTTAACATATGGGCACTTTGCTGCTGATTTAGAACAAGATTTTACTTACTATATATAAAACATGCACTGAGTTTGTACTTTTTTTTCTCATTAATATATAATATTAAATATTTCTGATTGTTTTCTATGTGATGCAATCTTGAACGTCAGTGATTTCTCACCCGATGCAGTCCATTTCTTCCATAGCCAGGCAGAGAGTTAGTTTTGGTTGGAGAGGTTGGATCTGAAACATAAATATTCCCCAAAATGAGGTTTGTTTTTAGGGTTAAAATGTTAAAATCTGGGGGAATTTACATTCTCAAATCACAGATCTAAGCAATTTTATAATCCAGACACGTCGCAGCAAAACTAATTCAAAGACTAACAATGTTATATCGTAACATAACACAGACCTTGTGTTAAAGTACATTGCTGACAACTCAAGAGCAGATTAGCTGATGAGGCTGCTCTGTACCTGCGTCACAGTTGGTCTGTTTAGGATCATAGCGCTGAGCAGAGAGGCTGCGTGCGTGACGCTCCCTGATCTGCTCTTTTTCCATCTCCTCCTTCAGAATCAGCTTCCCCAAACCAGACTGAATCTACAAACGCACACAGTCAAATAATTTACCCACACTTAAATACTAATCCAGGGCACAAACATTACAGTAATTTACTGTAATGTAGGGCTTTTAAATAATACATTTAATGCATCTGCAGTAAGTGGATGATAAATGTTATCCAACTCACCTTACTGAGATGTTCCTCCTGCAGCTGCTTTCTTTTCAATGCCTCTTCCTCCTCCTCTTCTCTAGATCGTCTCCTGCCTTCTGAACCTATGGGGGCAACACACAAGCCAAAAAAGTGACACATATACACGTGCCCATAAAGACCAGATCCACGGAGGACACCATGCTTCACATGTACTTGAATAGTACAACCGGATGAAATGTTTCATCCACAGCTCTAATGGAGAGAGAGATAGAATAGATGTGGTTGCTTCATTTGGCTGTAGAGCGGTGAGAAATACACACAGTATGAGTGGACAGTTGAACACAAATGTGAGACAGAGTTGACGAGACAGACAAACAGAGGGACTTATTGGTATATTTGGCTACCCTGACATGGCAGATGTTTCCACTTCGTCACTCATGCCGACATTTTAGTGGATGTCAAATACACAGAACGGCACAATGTAAGACAGACAGACAAAAGTTTGAAGTCAGTCTCAGTTATCTCTGTCCAAGTCATTTGTGGTACTATAGCTATAAGCACACATCATGTGCAGAAAGAGAAACGCAAAATGGTAAAACTGATGCTACCTCAAGCAGAAAATAATATGGCAGCAACGGAAACCAAACGACACTTGTGCTTTGTGCAAGCAAAAACTTAAAGGGAAATACTGTAATGCCTGGATAACAGCGTGAGCCCAGTGGTGAAGCAGGGGATGCAGTTAAGCATTTGGGGGGGCAGCTAGAAGGAGGAAACAGGAGGAGTTAGGTTGTGGTGAGGTGTGTATTTTACCACTACAAGGTAGCAGTGCAAGCATGCCCGTCAGGAGCCTACTGTACCTAATACAGCGAGAGAGTAGGGCCAACGGTCGCCCTCACTCCGCGAGCTGTCGTCCGGAGAGGGAGCATGGGCAGCGGGGAAGGTGGCGGATCTGATGATGTCATCAGCAGACTTGCTTTGACGTGCTATGGCAGCTGTATCTAGGTTGGTAACCATGGGAACTGATCTTTCAGTGTCTGGGTCACAGTCTCACAGGTAAACATCCTAGCAGCATGTGATCATCAGCCTCGACGATCATTTAATCCTGGATCATCTTGGTGTATATTTACAGTATATACAGCATATACTGTTTACAATGCAAAAATGTCTCTCCTAACAAGTCACTGCGTAATAGAGAGAGCCTCAAACTAGATAATTTTAGTGAAATCTCACACACTGAAGACTACACCTTTTCTACATCTATTATTATCTACATCTTAGAAGCACAACTTAACAGTTGCCTTGGTGCATCTCCCAAACAATCCTTAACATCTGCAAAACAGTAAGTGCATTTCTCAAACAATTAAAATGAACAGAACCGCACAATTGATTGCCTTCAAAAGCCTCCAAGTATTTTTGGATGCAAACTGCAGGTTTGTACATTCTGAATAATAGATGGCAATTATTCAAAATGCACAAGTCTGCAATTTTTCTATACAGCATATATCAATTTCAGCAGTACAAGTTATACATCACTGTATGTAGGAGACTGATTGTAACAGATTCAGATTCTCACATTTACTGTTTGTACTGTAATTTGTTCGCAGACCATGATGTTGCAATACAAAAAAGAAAATGACAAGGCTGTTTTATAGCACTGCAGAGCACAAAGGAAATAATACATCACAGCAGATGCCTGGAAAGGCTGGATAATGCATTTCAATAGATTCTTTCTGTGCAGCATTGAGAGGGAAGACATCTGCTGTGTTGTGGATGAGAATCTGTGACAGACAGAAATGTCAGGAGTGTAAAGCCGCATGTATGGTTCTGCCGAAGCAGTGTTTTTCCTCCGTTTACATTTCTGCTTTTGTATTTTTTTCTTTGTGCTATGCAGTTTTGTGAAACTTATTTTCTTTTCTGTATCGCAATGGTAGTTTCATGTCTGGATATACAAAAAAGTCTAAAGTAAATGTACAGAAAATACATCTGACAAATTGTGGCACCTGGTTCAATTATTTTGCATGTACTTGCTTATGCAGTAAACAAAAGCTGAGTTTTTTTTAGAGGGTAAAACTATTCAGCAGAGAACCAGTATAAATAATTTCAATTGACATAATGTAAGTAATTAGTAATGTCGAAACGGCAGGCAGGTGTACAAAATAATTTGCAATAACCTGCCGAAGCATTTGCAATTTTTTCAAAAGAATGAGAAAATGCTTTTATGATGTCGTGGATCAAGTCATTTTTACAATATGAATTCTGATCTGCTAAATGTAACAAAGTGACTGAGGAAAACTGTAACTGAAGACAAGTCTCAAAACCTCCCAGTGTGTGTAGTACGCAAGCAAATTTCCATTTTTAAGCCAGACTTTTTAAAAATAAAATGGCACATTCTCATCTTACAGTTGAGATCATAAGAAATCAGACACTCTTGTTTAAACATTGTGGCTAGCTATCCGACTTGCTTCCGTTACTAATCCTATTATTCTTTATCTGGCTCCCTTTAGCACAAATGACTCTTGGTAAATGTAGGGTCATTATCCTGTCATTGCCAAAACTCATTAAGTGTTCCATAACCTCATTTTGGGATAATGGCCAACTCTAATATTACTATTGTGACTTGTTAAGATGGACAAAGTGCAGTGTGAAACAAGCTACAATTCAGACAGAAAAGGATTGGAGACAGACTTCAAACAGTGCTCGTACACTGACGCTGGGGGTGACTATGGTTAGATGAATACACAGTTTCAGCTGATTAACAAAGGAATTCTCTGAATTAAATTACATAATTACCTAGAATAGTGGTTCCCAACCTTTTCGGTCTCCCACAGCGCTTCCTATATCCCCATCTGTCATTTTCCAAACGCATACTATAATGTTAATTCTATAGATTACACATCTCAGCCACAACATTAAAGCCACCTGTCTAACATTGTTAAAGTCACTCTTGTGCCACCAAAACAGCTGTGACCCATCGAGACGTAGATGCTGGACCTCTGGAGGTGTCCTGGAGTGTCTGACACCAAGATGTTGGCTACAGATCCTTTGGTTCCTGAGGGTTGTAGGATGCGACTGCCATGCCTCGGGCTCATTCAAGGCTTGATCGACCTAGGATCTTTGGAGTTCGGAAGATGGGTTGGCACCTCAGGCTCTTTGTCATGTTCCTCAAGCCGTTCCTTTGTGGAGCAGTGGGGCACAATGCCATTGACTCCACCTGCCTTTAATGTTGTGGCTGATCAGTGTGTATAAAAGCAGCTATTGTCACAGAGCTATTCTCATACAACCGTTATGCAGACTTTTAGTTTGCAACTGTACTACTTAACTTTATTTTTCAACCATTGTATTTATTATGCTGCAAGGTGGCGCAGTTGGTTAGCACCGTTGCCTCGCAGTGAGAAGGTTGCCGGTTCGCATCCTGGTGGAAGCACCGGGATCTTTCTGCATGGAGTTTGCATGCTCTCCCCATGCAGCATGGGTTCTCTCCGGGTTCTCCGGCTTCCTCCCACAAGTCCAAAACCATGTTGAGGTTAATTGGTAATTCTAAATTGTCCGTAGGTGTGAATGTGAGTGTGCTTGGTTGTCTGTCTCTAAGTATAGCCCTGCGATAGACTGGCGACCTGTCCAGAGTGTCCCCTGACTTCGCCCTAAGTCGGTTGGGATAGGCTCCAGCCCCCACCACGACCCTAGTGAGGATTAAGTGGTGTATAGATAATGGATGGATGGATGTATTTATTATGCATAGCTACCTGTTTGGACATCTGTGCCAACTTGCTATTTTATTTTATTTTTCAAGTTATTTGAGCTACTCCACAATCTTCCCACGCACCAAATGGCAAATGTAGGAGAACTCTTGGGATATAAGCACCTCTGGTTGGGAATCACTGACCTAGAATATTATGCCAAATTAATAGTATGACAGTTTTTTACCTTTTCTTATTACAGCAAAAGAGACTATGCTATAAGAGGAAAGGTACCGTGTTGTTTGTAGATGGGTGGTTTTCTGTAGATGTTGCTCCCCTGATCTGAAAGCGAAGAAATATATATAAAAAAAAATGTTTACAGAGCAAAAAGTGAGTGTTGAAACAAATCAAACCTAAAATGACTCATTAGGAATATTTAAATGTTGCCCTTTTTCCTGTGATACATCTGTATAGTTGTGAAAGACGAAGGGGAAAAAGCAAAAGCTGATCCCAAATGGAATATAATGATAGATAGATAGATAGATAGATAGATAGATAGATAGATAGATAGATAGATAGATAGATAGATAGATAGATAGATAGATAGATAGTAAAAAAGAAAGAAAGAAAGAAGGGACGAGCAGTGACAGGGTGCGCTCCAGCTCCTACCTGGGAGGTGGAAATGTTTAGGGGTCTGACAGAGAGGCGGGGTGACCGGCCGGCTGTCGGGCCTGAGCGGGAGAGGGGAGCTCCGGCCACTCGGCGGGTCAGTGCCTCCAGTGAGAAGAACCAAGAACAGAACATAAGCAGGAACACTAACGGGGAACCACAGTGCAACACACGGAACCAGCTGAAGTCATTCTGAGCAAATGGGACACGTTCTGGTCGGTTTACAAAAATGCAGTCGATGGGGCTGAAGAGAAGCGGACCAAACTAGCAGAGTTTGAAACCGAGATTAAATGCTCAGGAGATGAGTCATGAAGTTAGAGTGTTGTGTAATGTGAGCTCACAGTTAAGACGTTAATACCTCTCAGCATGCAAAGGCAAACTTATATTAGAAAACTTTTCTTTTTATCTCAGCCTTGCACTTTTACCAGACTCTGGAGACTCATTCTGACAATGTGAAAAAGTTATCCATCATCCAACATCCAGGGAACTGTTAGTTTGGATATTGGATTTGGATTACTAATTCCTATCAAGTGCTTGCAAAAATGCAAAAATGAAGTGCATGTTAGTGAGAAAGCAGTGGGTTGGCCAAGACATAGGTTTGACCATTTCAGGCTAGCAGAGAAATGTTGATGGATCCAGAATGGTAGAATGGGGCACTGACGGGAGGTGGCATCCAGGTGACGATGGAGATGATGTGTTGCATTGAAGGTGGGGCAGCAAATAAGAGTGGAGTGGGGCCCTTACCTTGGCTATGGGGGAGGAAGTGGTGTCTGAAAGGGGAGGTGGGGCGGGAGTCACTATTTCTGGAGCCCACACTGTTACTGCACAGGGAGGAGCAGAGCTTCTGCATGCCTGTCAGAGCCTCTGCGGGCAAGGAGGCAGTAGGACAGGAGGGGGACATAACCCCAGGACCAGGCAGCAGAGGTGGGCAATACGAGGAGGAGATAGAAGGTGAGAAGGTGAGGGGCAAAAGAAAAGGAAGATATACAAGAGTAAAATGTTGAAAAGAGGAAATTAAAGACACCCAAAGTAAGAGGTAAGAAGTATTCAAGGTGAACAGTAAGAAACAAGGAAGAGCACGAAGGCCAATTCATGCTTTCCACGTCCACGTCCACAAGGGTACACGTGACGTAGATTTCAGGATCTACCCAAATCTGCAAGAGTCCACACTACAATTACACCGACTGGAACTGAAGTAGTCACTGCTGGACTTGAGGGGTGCTTTGGTTTGTATGTGTTTTCAATCAGAAAAGCCCAAATTTGTTAAGAAGTTTTGAATTCTCCAGATATCTTATGTTCTGTCATCCCACTGTGCTTGACACACCTTAGGAATATTCACTGACACGCTGCTACTGTGTAATCTGTAAGTAACCGTGTTTTTCTGTGTTGGATAAGATGGGGCAATGTGACCGTCTGTGGTTGTGGTATGAACAAATCCAAGTGTGCGTCCGCTGTCCGATTATCGACCTGCACACAAAGACGCCCAAAGCACGAATTGGCCCTTACACTTTAAAATCAAACTTTTAATAATGGAAATAATAGTAAACTGAGGGGATATTGTGTTGTAAGAGGCACAAAATTGACTTTAAGGTTGTGATTTTGCAAGAAGTACAAAAAAGAAATTAAAAAAAAAATCAACCTAAAGTCAATTTTGGTAAAGTTTCCCTTTAAGGAGATAAAAAGATCAGAGGAGCGGAGGGAGAGCCTTAAGGTGGAGGGTCAGTGAACTCTTTCACAGTGTCTTCACAGCTGTCATCTACTTGAACGCCTTATGAAAAAGGTAGAAATATACATTTGCATACACAGAATGGTCTTTTTAGGTACTGACCTGGCCTGTGAAAATGCTGAGGTGACCGCGACAAGGTGGGGGTGTAACCATGGCGATTATAAACTGGTGATCCTATGGAGCCCTGACTGGTGGACCTTTGAAGGATGCGTTCCCTCCTGTCGTAAGAGCCCTGATACACACACACACATACACACAGGTTAATGCACAAACTACTGAGAACACGCTGCACTGAATAAGAGTTGGACGGCATGCGGTAGTGAGTGAATCTGAACAGATCGCTCACCTCACTGGGTGGGGTCGGCGACATATTTCTTGAGGACTAGAAAGAATGAAACAAGTCTGCGTGAAGTTTGCTTTCCTTAACAACAAGTATGACAGACAATCTAGGCAGACATAAGGTAAATATCAGATCATCATAGCGTAAAGAGGCTTTAAAGGTCCAATATTTTGCCCATTTTCAGCAAATTAATCAAAAGGCCCCCCATGTGCCTTTCAGTGTTTCCGCTCAAAATACTGCTCAAAGACCGTTTATTTTACCACGACTGTAAAACTGTTGTTTTTAAGGCTGTTCTAAATTAGCTATTTTGGTCTGAAAGCTAATGACCTGCTGCTGTTCCTGCCTCCTTCAGGAAGAACACACTCACTGCATGACATGGATCACTATTGGTTAGTTAGGTTAGAAGTTGAGAGGCTAACTACTTGGGAAGTAGCTTGAGGATTACCAGAAGTAAACATCTTCATATCCTAACAGCTTTTATTTTACACCTTTAAGTTAATAACAACCACAGAACACAATAAAACTGAGTTTTCAGCATAAGGGAACTTTAAGAGCTATGACTCTGTGTCATTGCCAAGAATAGCCTGTCTGCTTATCTTCCCGAATTGTGTTTCTACAGAGAAACGCGGCCTCCTCTCCTTACTTTGTGATTTAGGATCATTTATCACCATCAGCACACACGTTGGCATATCTTACCTTGTCATCAGGCAAAGGGGAACGTTCCCTCCTGGCAGTGTGGAGCTGTGAGGGACACACAAGCTTAATGCTGCAAAAACCTTTTTACTACAAAAATATCACACAATCAGTAAGCAGTTCTTTTGTGTCTACTCATGTTTATTCCCCCGCCCCCAATAGGAAAAACAGGTTCATTTGAGTGCTACTACTCTTAATGTGTACAAAGAAAGTGTACATGCAGGAAAAGAAGCATGCAGTCTATGCGTTTACCTCTCCCACACTCTCTCGTCTCTCCTCTCTCTCATCCAGGGAGGTGGAGTACATGGGTTCATAGGTAATAAGATCAGGGCGCTCAATGTCATAAATGGCTTTGACTTTTGGAATGGCAGCTAGGTCTCTGTAATCAAGGATCTCATTGTCTACTTTTGCCTAGGGAGACAAAGACAAAACATGCACACACACACACACAAGAGTAAAGGGAGATTGCTATTACTATTACTGGTGTAACCGTCAATAAGGGGTTGATGTAAAAAAAAGGGAAAAGGTAATTTCTGACTACAGAGAGAACAGTCTTAACACAATCTATTCAGAGCATGTATATAATTTTTCTTACATAGATCGTGTGACCCGGTGAGCCAGGTATGCTTGAACCAGGTCTGGAACAAATACTCTCGGACGACGACCTCGTAGGCTGTGAGAAGAAAACACACAAGTAGCTGTTAGTTCCAATAACATCTAAGAGGCAGCCAGCCTGCCGTGATCCACAGCCCACTGCCTTCAGCATCTCACCTGGGATCACTAACAACAACACCCCAACATTACACCGTTTGTCCTTTATACTGTATGAACGATGAGAGGGAGCTGCGACCCCTGTATTTACGTTTCATGAATTACATGAAGTACTCTGAAATACTAACATGTCATCTCATGATTAGGTCATTCATTTGCAAATTTGCAAAGTGAATGAGTGCTTCAGCGCTGTGATTGGATGTTCTTAAGAACCTCATGCCTGTTTATGGGAAATGAAACAGTTTGAATGGCAGCAGCAGGTCTGAATGTGGCATAATTACATAAATGAGCTTTTTTTTTTTTTTTGCCTAATGGGTTAATGGGGATTTTTTTTTCCTTTTTTTTAAAAAAAGAAAAGACAAATTAGTCATCTTGTTTGCTCCTTCAAATGTGTGTGCATCTTTGTCTCATGCACACCGGATGAGAGCGTAGTTTGGGGTGTTAAAAGACAGGACTGGATGGCTCTGTATGACACACAGAGAGGGCACTGCAGGCTGTCTCCAGAAGATGGCAGCATACAGTGCATCTGTCCTATGTACATGGTGGAACACAGGATGATGCCATCTCATAGCCAATAGCGAATACAGTACCTGCCTTTCTGTTTTTTGGAGGAATAAGAGGGACGGAGGCAATAGCTGTGGAGGAAGGGAGAGGGGGGTTCACAGGACATCACACAGGGGTAGTGCCTCGCCTGCCCGAGTCACAGTTCACACATACATCAAGGTGAACGTGTCCACATGTAAATACGCACATGAACAAATACTTATATACACACACACGCATGCAAAGACGCACACTCAACACTGGTTAACAGTCCAAGGGCGCAATAACAGCTCATTTTGAATCCCTCGTTAATTAAATATTCCAAATTTCTATCTTTTTCTGTATTTTTCTTTTTCGTATTTTCTGTAATTATTGTCCAGAACGGAAAGGTGCATTCAGTCGAGAAAAAAAATAAATAAATCAAGGACAAAGGAGTCAGTGACGCCCTAATTCCTACCCGCTCCCTGTGTCTCTCCTCTGTTCTAGTGGTGTTCTTGCAGCCAGGATGCCAGACTGTTGATCCTATACAGCAAGACGGAGGGAGAACACATTCAGAACAACAGGTTTTTCACATCTATCTATCATCATAGATTTGTTTCATTAATAAAAAGGTTGCGTACAGATAAAAATCACCCTTTTCTTAAAAAATTCCATTTACAGTGATGTTTTTTTTCCAAGTGTGTGTACTCCTTTTTGATTGAGTCTAGGTAAAAGGTTTCATGTTGTTGAGCTGATGCTCAGTGAAAGACAACATCTGAAATGCCATACTTTTTCAGTAAACCTCAAGCTGACACAGTGCTGAAATTAAATTCTCTTTAACATATTAAGCAAAAAACACCCATCAGTCTGAGAGGTCAAGTGAAAAACACTGATCCTCTGGTAACGATGCAATGCCATACTAGGAAACCCTGAGTCCTGGCATTCACATGGATGTTACTTTGACATCTAAATGCTACCACAGACCCAAAGCTGCTCAGGAATGGATCAAGGAAAACGACAAAGAGACCAAGGCGTTGACTCGGCCTCCAAACTCCGATGATCGTCTGACCTGATGCACCAGAACAAGTCTGGCCAACAGAAGCCCCATATGATCCAAAGGATCCACTGCCAACATCCCGACATCCCTAGAACACCCATATTTATGCTCTGGCAGGTCAGAGCTGTTTTGTGTACCTGGTGGGTTTAATCGATTTAAATAAATGGAGATGCATGGGATACACAGGATACTAAATGATTATTTTAATCACATGCCATTGTGTTTACAGTCCCCAAATTTCAACCAATGCGAACACCTACATATTGGAGATTTGGGAGTGTAGTGTTGCACAGCAAAAGAATCAGGAAAGCACCAAATGAAGGAATCTATTTCATAGATTCAGAGACTTATAAAAAGAGGATCAAAGCTGTTATTCTGGCGTTTTGTGGCCCATCACATATAATTTCATACCAGATATATAAGTTGTTTTTTTGTTTTCTTTAATTTGTCACCTTCCTATATATATTTGCAGGCTTGCAAAACTAATTATGTCTGATTTTAAAGCAAGCGTCTGTGTGTTTTTAAAGGGTTTCACATCGCTAAGCTTTATTCAACCCAAAGAGTAACATGCAGTTCTAAAAATTTAAGTTGAAAAAAAAAAAAAAACTCCAAAGAACAAAAAAAGAACACATTTTCCATGAGACAGCAGCAGCAGCACACGTAAGTCCGCTCACCTTGCAGATACATCTCTTCTCCTTCTGTGAACATCTGATTGCACCTGCTGCATCTCGCACAGCTGGGGTGGTAGTGCTTATCTCCCGCCTGGAATACACAGAGCACAAAACAAACTTGACATCGCAGCAAAATCAAGATCAATGAAGCCTGCAGCACGGCGACAGAAGCCGAGTTGTGACGTCCAAGAAATAAACCTCCACCTGCTCTGAGCTGTATTTCTTCCCTCTAACACCCTGTTAGCGTCGGGTATAGTTTCATCAGATCCAACGTACCGGTGACTGCTTTCATTTTCTTTGAAGAAGTACTGATGCCAATGGCCGGCATTGGGGGAATAAGTTCACACAAAAGGACTGTAGAGGATCTTCCTCAGCAGTTTGTGGGGTTAAGTGAGGATCTGTGACATATATGCCGGTGAGAAATCACCTGATGTATTTCTGTCGTACATCTTGCTATACAAAAATGGTAAAATCACTTTTAATGAATATGACCACCATGACACAGTCAACCTGTCTTCACATATAAAACATCCAGGTGTTCCGTTTTGTGATGACCTGCATAATGTAGTGCAATGAAACCATCTGACAGCTGGAGCACCTAAATTTCCATCTAGGTGGCGTGGCTCTTTGCATGCAGAGAGCACCATTATAAAGCCTATGACCATGGCTGATAAATACCCAAATTACATTTTGCCTGCCGTATAACAACCCTCGGTAACATTTCAACCGGCAAGTGGCCACTCAAAGATATGAAGCCACTGAGTGATATTTGCATTTCACTGTATGGAAAAGTTGTCACAGAATGACTACAGCAGACACTTCAGAGCACCCCATTCCTAATATTCTCCAAAACTCAATCTCCCTCTCAGGTATAATGAAGGTACTTATGCTGTACTGCATGTGTAGTGTGCCATTAGAGTCTCTCCATCTGTAATAGCTGCATTAATTACCCCTACATTAATAAGCAATGCACACAGCACTCCCAGAGTGTCAGAAAATATGCAAACCACCGATGGCTACACTGTGTTTGACCTGGGTCTTGGGTCAGTGATTAGACTATCAGACAGGCTGGAATGGCTTTGGCCCCACTGATCCATTGGCAGCAGCTCCAGGATGAGACATAGCAGCCTTTTCCTATTGTAATAAAGACCTGCCTTAGCGTTGGATTACTGTAAGCCCGGTTGGCTGGCTAGCAGTTGACATTTTCATACCATTAAATGACACATAACTCAGTGTCTGATTGGATCTCCGCCTGCAGAAACAGACAGCGAACAGAAAGAGTGTCAAGGACAGCAGCGTTTGGTGGCATTTTCCATAAACTCTTGCTTAATGGGATGAATAAAGTATTTTTCATTAATAACGCTCAAACACAGAGTTTCATAACGTCCGCACGACATACAGTATTAATGAATAATGGTCACTTCCTAAATGTCAGGCCACATTAGGTGTTTTATGTAATATTTATATAATTTGCGGGCTTGTGTGAGCCGCGTGGAAGCATGTGTATTTAGGCAGAGTTGGACAGACGTGAAAATCTGCTAAGAATTAATCTTTTAGTTGAATACAGTCATGTCAAGAGTCTATTTGGCTCAGCACTGAGGAGATTACACCACAGATTATCAAACTACATTTCACAATTCGGCCCCATGCAGCATTCTCTGAGCAGAATGCAGATGTTACAATCGAGGGGCAAAGAAAGTTTGGTAACTATGAACTTGTGTCTATATGAAATATTTAAAAGCATTCGTTTTAACTTACCTTAGGCAGCTTCACATGAAACTCAAAGTGCAAGACTGATTAATATTCTGTCTGCAGAGGCACATTAGAAATTCCAAATCAGCTAACTGGCCGCACAGGGAGCCAATCAGCAGTAGGTGGTTGCAGAATGTGATATGTGTCTTACCTCTAGCACCTTCCCTGTGATGAACTGATGACACGCCTCACACTGAACTCCAAAATGGATCTGGTAGTCCTTCTCACAGTAGGGAGCGCCATCCCTGTGAAGAGAGAGCGAACACATTCAAACACTGTAGACTCAGCAGTGACAGATTTCCCAGGCTTGTGAACTTTAAGCAGGCCTAGATTTGAGCAAGCAGACTATAAATTACACGCAGATATGAGCTGCTTACTTGCTGATGTACTCCCCGGTCAGCACTTTGCTGCAGGCCTTGCACTTGAAGCAGCCCAGGTGCCATTGTCTGTCCAGGGCAAGAAGAGCCTGTCCGTTCTTAATGTCTCGGCCGCATCCAGCACAGTCTGTGAAAGCAAAATGAGCACGGTTTAAAGAAACCAGAAACTCCACAAACTACAAGAACAACGCAAGGAAAATTTGCATACAGAACTAATACTGGTTTGAAGGGTTGTTTAGAATAAAACACAGCTTTGAGACAATACTGTGATCCCATTGTGTGAACTACAGCTAAACTATTGCATGCAAAGACATCTTGTCACTTCTGACCCAAGACACTAGATGGTGATAGAGGGTAACCGGCTCTGTTCTGACAGCTGCCTCTTTCAATCATCCACATCTATCTTGCCATGGCTCTAAAAGCTCCATCCATATCCAAGTAGGATCCCGAGGCTGTAAAAGTGCAAGAGGTTGGTTTCTGAATCTTCTTGTCATCTCGTCTTTAATGAATAGAGGGTGAAAGCAACACAGAGCCCGCTGCAACCACAGGGGATGATAACTACGTAAGGCATAACAAGGTTGCGATGATGACGTGAGTAGACTCAGCATGCCTTATTTATAGGTGACCTTGTCTAAAAGCTCTTCAAACGCCAACAGAGACACCAGTGGGGGATGAGAGAGGAGGACCAGGAAGAGGAAGCAGTGGGGAGAGAAACAGGGAGGATGAGAGGGGCCAGAAGAGGAGGGGTTCGAGGAGAGGAAATGCATGGCCATGCATTATTTAGCACGGCCTGTCTCAGTGTTATTCAGAAAGGGACGAGGCTGCTTGAACATGGGGCTGTGCTTATAGAGAACAGAGAGGTGGGGGATCTTCCTGCTCCATCATCCACTCCTCAAGCATCACTGTATTGTACAGGAGCGCCTGAATCGTTACGTGGAAAGGAACCAGATAAACAGATTTAACCCTACAACAGTCAGCTTTACAAAATTTATTTTCCTGAAAATTGGCAGTTTGACGAAAAGAATGATGCCACTTTCCTTTCTGTTTGTTCAATATGAAGCTAAAGCCTGCTGGGGGAAACAGATCCTGCTCAAAATTACCAGTTTGAGCCCAGCAGTACCTCCACTGCTCACTAGTTAACAATTTGCATTTTGTTTAGAGCAGCAATTACTGATTATATCCATTGTAAATCAATCTGTAGATTGTTTTCTTAATTAGTTGATTAGTTGCTTGATGAAAAGTGTCAATCACTGTTTCCCAAAGACCAAAATGTCATCCTCAAATGTGGTGTTTTGTCAACAACCTAAAGATATTTAGAAAATATTCAAATTTCAGAAGCTGGAATTGAAGAATTTAAACTACCTTCTTTAAAAATTACTCAAACAGATTAATCACTGACCAAATTAGTTGGAGATTAATTTAATTGTTAACAAATAACTGATTAATTGACAAATCATTGCAGCTCTAATCTTTTTTTTTCTTTTTTTACTTTTCAGAAATAAAAGTGTAAAAATTAGTTGTGGAGGTAACAAAGTACGTTTACTCAAGCAATGTATTTGAGTACAATTCTGAGGTATTTGTACTGATAACCCCTGAGAGAAATACTGTCCTCTCTACTCCCAGTTACTTTTAAGATGAAGATTTTACACACTGAATAATATAACAAGCTTTTAAAATACAACACATTGTTAAAGATTAATCAGGAGGTTTCCAAACATTTTTGTTTCTGACGTCTTACAAAAAGCACAGTGTAGTTGGGCTCACACGTCGGATGTCTACGAGATGGTAATGGCTCCACCAAATAGAGATTCTTCCCTCTAAACTTCTTATATCAAATGGTCAAACATCTCACCAAAAATCAAAGATTAGAGAAAAATCCAAAAATGGAAAACAGATTTGTATGTCAGAGCTCTGTTTTTTCTTCTTTTCATTCACATTCTTTATGTCACAACTCCTCGAATGTATTTACTGTTATAAAACTGTGTATTAAAAAGTTTAAGCCTGTATCAGCATTACAACAGTAAAACGCTGCTGATAAAAGTCTAATAATGTCATATACAATAACATATCAGACAAAGACACTAAACCAGTACTTTTACTTCATTACTGTAATTACACTTGGTGGTAATATCTATATACATCTACTTCATTTGTGTTTTTCATACTCAAGAGTATTTCTTCCACCACTGGTAAAAACAATAAGTTGTGGCTTTGTCAAGCTAAGTTAGTCAGGTGTTTCCTGTAGCTTATTATGAAATACTGTTATGTCAATCTTCTCAGCTAACGCTCAGCAGGACAGCAAATAAGCTCATTTGGTAAAACATCCAATTACTTGATTACACATTATTAATGTTGAATACATTTTCAAAGGCAAAGCATTTTTTTTTAGCTTGACTGTTCCAGAAAATGGAAATATTCTATATCTATCAAATGCATCAATGTGTATCAGTTTAATAAAGTTTTTTTTTTTTTTGCGGATTTTTGCTTCTGTGGGTTTGAACAATGTTTGGTTGCACAGTGAGTCTTTGTAATGAATGACCCACCGACAGGCTGCTGTTTGATAAGGGGGCTCACAATTCCATATTTATTATTGTTTTTCACATCTTGAACAAATTTTTGGTCTGCATTTTAATTAAATTTATGCAAATATTGTGTGGGCAAGATGACTGATGCAGACCTGAAAATTATTCCTCACAGCTAAAATGACTGGTCAACAGCTACATTAAATGTCATACATGAATCACATCAGCAAGCTAAATATTCCATTCCTTGCTTTTCTTAAACTTTTGAGTACCTAGAAATAATCTCCATTCTACTGCAAACCTTCCAGGCTTGAGTGGAAAGGGAGTGCACCATGAGAAAGAGAATTCCCCCATGTGCATTAGATGTGTAGGTTTATTAGACAATGGCTACTTACTGCTGGAGCCTAGGATGTCCTTTGGTCCTGGAGACATAGGTTCGACACAGTACTGACAAAGACAGTCCTTCCCATTAAAGGTCACCCTATCCCCGGCAGGGAACGGTCGTCTGGAAGAGGAGGAGGGGTGACATCAACAACCAGTCAACAAGACATGAGCTGTAGCCCCGTGGTCAGTGCATGAGTTTATTAGCTGTGGCTTGCAGGTTTCCTGATGGGGCCGAAGATGACAGGATCCGATGATGTGGATGTGTGTCAACGCTGTTTGCCTGAGGATCTCCATTTAGTCAGATGACGCAGACATGCACACGGCATGCTACTGTAGAGTGTCTACTGGGATTCCTGCCGCCCTCGACTTCATTGCATCACAACATTCTGGGCATGATTTTATTATTACTATATTGGAAAATCTTTTCTCTTTAGTTTACTCTTTTTTTTAATAAAGAAAAGACTCATTGAGCATCCTTGCAACAGCACCACAAGTTCATAGGTTACAGACATGAAACAATTTAAATAAAGTTTAACAAGGCTGAGAGCAGGGCCAATGTGAGTCAGTCATAACATGTACATCTGAATGTCTCAGCCTCCAAGTCACGTAAGGCTGCTTTGAATTCATTTAATGAGATCAGCTCTTTAAGATTCAGGCAATGTTGCAACCGATTCCAAGCAAAGAGGGCAGCGTACTTAAATGCCCTCATCCCCAATTCAGTGCGAGCTGTGGGAACAGAGAGGAGGAATAAATCCTGGGAGTGAAGACAATAGCTTCTCATACCTTTTGGGCTGATAGAAGTCCGCAGGTATAAAAGAAATGAATCAGGAATAGCTTTATAAAGAAGAGCATTTAAAATTTGTAATAAACCTCAGTGCTCCGTGGTGGACTGTATCCAATATGTAAGTAAGACTTGTTTCTTAGACAAAAACCTAATTTCAACTTCAGTTTTTCTGAACCGATTGCTCAGTGCTAGAAAACAAGATGAAGTAGATGGAAAGCTTACAGCAAATTTTGCCAGAGCTATGCTTTAAGCACAAATTCAATCAGGATGACTGAGCTACTTTGATGCCCTGTTTCCTTTCAAATTGCAATATTAATTTATTGTTGACCAATGGCCATTTACAATCTTCCTTACTCAGTCATGTCTCTGTTTTCTCTCTTTTCATGGGCTACACTTTCTTCAGACCTACAGATAAAGTCACTGTTTGTTGCAGCTCATTGCCATTTCGCAAGATAATTACAGTATTTCTAAAATTAACAAGAGCAGACTAGTGATCAGCATGTTAAAAGTGGCCGTCTTACTTGCAGATGGTGCAGACAAAGCAGGCTGGATGGTAGGTCTTGCCCAGGGCAGTGACCACTTCTCCCTCGACAAAGTCCCCGCAGCCATTGCAGCGGGTACCGTGCATGCGTTGGTAGTCCAGCGTGCACAGATACTCTCCATTCTTCATGAAGAAGCCCCCCTGGGCGAGGTCACAGCCGCACACTATACAGGACACACACACAAGAGTCATACCATTTAGTGCTCTGCCCATATAACACATAAAGCATTCAACAATCGAGCCACCCAACTCCTCCATGCATCAATGACTTTGTTAAGAACTGCTAGTCTCTGTAATTCTAAGTTGCTCACTGAAGGCATGACATGGATGCCAACTGAAAAAAGAGAAAAAAATCAGTGAAAAATACAATCTGTTCTTTGCATTACAATTGGAAGTGTAACATAAAACCTTTTCAACAGCAGTGTTCCAAGTGTCGCACACACACAAAAAAAGTTCTTCTTTTGAAGGAGCTCATGTCTATTAATCAGTACCACTACTGCAAGGTTTTTCACTGTCACTTTAGTGACTGACTGTTCAATGCAGCAACAATTCTGCAATTGTCTAGCCCAGGAAACAGCCTTGATCTGTTTTTGAAGATAACTGACTCAAAATACTCCATACTACACTGTCAGTCTCCTACAAGCTTCCTTCTATTCAAATATAACCTTGTCATCAACACAAACATAAAAGGCCGGCAAAGGAAGAAATACTAATTAGGAAACAATTGAGAGTTTGGGATATTATAATGTTGGTGTGACACTGAGGCACTGAAGTTGGGTTTTACTGCGGAGCATTTGAATGAATGACTGTATTGGACAAAACACGGCATTCAAAATTGACTAAACTTGCTCCATGATGTCAAGTACAGACACTTAATCTTTGATTATGCTCCTTTGCGAACATGCACACGGACAGCCATGGACATACAGTTGTTGTTAAGTTGGCGTTATATTTTCCGCATCTGGGAGTTTCTGCCAGGGTATATGTGAACTAAATTTTGTCATCTGCATAAGTCTGCAAGAGCTCACACAAACCCCTCTGCAGACATCCACATGCAGGCCAAAATTTCCATCTACGCAGGAATAATTGTTAAATTCAGTCGAGTACCAAGGACACATCTGCAAGGCAGTCTAATCAAGGACTTGTCATATGACTTGTGGTCCTCATTGTAGGGCTCCATATGTGCACAGTAGATCGGCATCTACATGTTCACGCATGCACACTGCTGTTACTTATAGCACGAGCACATGAGCATAAATATGGGCTGTATGTCTACAGTAGAGTCTGCGTGGAGTCTTGCTTACTTTGGCAGATGACGGAGTTTCCCATGGAGCATCGTAGACCCCTGTGGACGCTCGCATACAGCCTTGTAAAATATAAAGCCTTGATCATACTCCCATGCAGATGTGCAAACAGACAGCTGCAGACATTGCAGATGTGTAGTTGTTGTAGTTATACTACTTTATAGTTCACGCAGAATCTCGTAGTGACCGTGTGGACAGTCACCAATTTTGGGCTGCTTGTAGAGGTCTGCACTGAGGTCTGTATGGACTTGCCCAAATGATGAAATTTATGTCAAGCAGACCCTCCATTCACACAGATGCAAAAGCATAAAGCCTTAGTTATACTCTCCTGCAGATGCACACAGGACAGCTAGGGACACCACAGATCTATTGCTGCTGTTTCTAGACTGTTTTCTAAATTGCTTGGAGGTTGCTCGGAGGACTTTGGTCCACACATGTGGACTAGATTGACCTTTACATATTCCACGTACGCACACCTCTGCTGAGTATGAGCAATGCTGCCCTTGTAGCGTATTTGCTGCACCGACAGTCACAAATAATGCAGACGTAGAAAGGATAATACTGGTTTAACACTGACCTCAGGGTGGCTTAAAATTAGTGGTGTAACACTTATGAACTGGTCCATCGTGAAATATGTGCATTTTTAGAACTGACATGCTTTCATCATCTCACATGTGTTAACCATCTTAGAAAAGGAATTCATTGTGTTCACTTTTTGACTGTCAACCATTATAATTTGATAATAATAATAGCAATTTGATAAGTTCAAATCTGATGTCCATAAAAACACTTGTACTTTTGGCAGTGCTAAAGAATGCATTAAAGATTCTGGGTTATAATAAGTACTTATTTTCCATGTCACAACATTACATTACTAAAGTGCAGTCACTGCACGACAGCACAGACTGCCTATTTTGTGTGAACTCAACATACGGTTTGATTACAATTCAGATCATGTGCATGTATGTACAGTATTTCCACCAGCACCACAGAGTGAGTCTGGGAATTTAATAGCCCTCTGGAAATGCCACAGCTAGGAGGGAAAATATTTTGATGTTTGAGATAACTGCACCTAATCATTCTTATGCAATGAGCCATGCTAAATCCTGGGGATGAATGGGAGCGGGTGAGGGAGAGAATCAGATTTAATTGCATTAGGGCTCAGGGATGATGAGATTAGCTTGTAAGCTAACTGAGTCAAAAGACAACCAGCACTGGAGATTCGGTGGCCTTTGACTGCTATGTCCAAACGGCTTGGCTTTTCAGCAGATGCATGCCATTACATAAAATGCCTTTTTGGAAATTTAATAATCGAACCTTATGAAATTGAAATGAATTCAGGGAAACTGATTGGTTTTGCTAATGTGTGCTTCATGGAATGAGATAAAGTTTTCAAAAAAGAGTCTATTTGGGATTTGTCTGCCAAAGCATGTTTTTTAATAACCTCTGAGTGTCAATAAACTCAGTCAACCTGGCAAGACCACGACTGACAATTATTATTAGTCAGTCTGCAGGTTGGAGACTGATATCGGCGCGCATAAATTTAGAGCAAGGACTAGGACAGTGAGTCTTTTGGCTATTAAAGCTGTCCTCATGTCTTCTTTGGCAACAACTTGACAGGCACACAGACACTTATACACTTTTATCACCACAGAGTCTCTAAAGTCATGTATATCCACTTGTAAAGGACAGAATTAGGTACTAATCTCAGTGTTTGCGTGTGTTATTCTGGGCCCTTGGTGAATTAAGCTAACTCTGTAACAGTGCTCTAGTCACAGATTAACTACAAGGGCTTCAGCAGGGCAGGTCCAGTCCAGAGTCAGACCGCCTGGTCGGCCGGCGGCGGCCACATTGTAATCATGTAATAAGAGGGATTTGCACCATTACTTGTGATGCCAGCCAGGATGGCACTTTAATTGAAGTATGCAGGTCTGAAAAGTGAAGATGAGTCACACTGCCATGTAGCCCTCTCGTTAGAAGAGGATGGAAAGGATATTAGGGACTTTACTACTCCTGCTTAACTTTGTATGACTGGGATGCTTTTTGGGACAGTCACAGAGGGGGAAAAAAAGAACAATTTGTTCAGTTGCACTTTGTCCCTTTTCACTGAAACCCCTCCAGACACGTCAGACACCTGTGATCTATCACACTTCACGAGTGCATCAGTAGTTGTATATTAGGCTGCATGTGCTGAATGAAAGGTAGCAAATGTCTTACTATTGTGACAGGATCAAATTAGCAATGAATTTTAAAACTTCACACTCTAGCTGCCATTTTTCGCACACCTCCCACAGTTTTCTTCTCGTGCTTGGAAAAAAATAGTCGTCCAAGCTGTCGGACAGTTCATTTTTAAATCGTAAACCCATAACTTATTTACCAAAGACAGGTTGTTTTTTTTGCAATATTAGGCTTGTCTGATATGGGATAAACCTGAGCCAAATTTCAAGGAGTAAATATTGGTGAAACCTGTTTAACACCAGATGTTC